CTGCTACTGGGTAATAAAACTAATCATCTTTGGAAAAATTAATTTTTTAGCTTTCAAATAGTAGTAAAATTTGATTGTTAAAATTGTGGTCAATTGGATTTGTTACAATTGAATAATCATAGAAATCTCAGATATTGTAATTCGTTGGTGATTAAAAAGTTTATTTTTGCGTTAATGTGGACCGATCGATATGAGTAGAAAATCGTTAAACCATTGAATTGTCATGTAATAGCTTAATGATATAAAAAATTTGTATCGTATGGATGTGTAATTGAGTTCCTGAATGTTTTGAAAAGCTCCTGAATGTTATGAAAAAAAACGGTATATTATTACGGTCCTTAAAAGATATTGTTAATTTGAAGTCCAGAAATTCTTTTCAGACAAGCAATGGCTGGCTGAAATTACCAATTGGTATACTGAGGTAATGAATCAGAAAATAAACACAACGAAGAATGTATACATCTCATCCTTCAATTTCTTTTCTTTATTTTATTATTTAAGAGGGGAAAGAGTAAGAATTTTTTTCTTCAAAAGTTTACTTTGTTTCAAAAGGAATATATTTCCATCTGAAATATTCTCAATATATTTTTTAACAAATGTTGTCTGCTAAATCTTTCAAAACGAATTATTTTAATTATTAGAATATGCTGCAATGATTGAAATGCATATTTTGTAATTCATTAACTTTTGAAAAATTCAAAGAATATGTATAAAATATAGAAAATAAATGACAAATGTCATAAACAAGTTAATAAAAATTTGAAGAAATTTCGTTTTAGTGCAACGAAATGAAAAATCAAACAAAAAAGAGTGTTTGATCAAGTCAGAAAAATAATTGATAACATTGAATAATTTATATTTTGGACTCAATAATGATTTAAATTAATTCAGAGATTCTACCACCTGAACCGATTTTGGACTATTGTCGGGAAATCCGAAATTAATCCATAATACAAAATCATCAAAATAAATTCATTAAATATTCTTCAGCAAAATATATAAAATTATTTTAACAATTATACGATATGCATCATATCACTAGTAAACTTCATCAGAATTATAGTTATGTTTATCAGAATTATAGTTATGTTTATATTGTAACCCAATAATTGAGACTTATTTGATCTTTGTATATGTTTGGACAATTTAGTCGGTATTATCAAACACCATTTCGTAAGTCTCTTTTTCTAATTTTAACTAAATCAACCCTTGGCCTATCGGGAACCGCCCAAAGGGGTCCATATATAAATCCTTCATCATTAATAGGATAGGATGGTATCTGTTTCCAAAATCACTCTCGGTGGCTCTATACATCACAACAGTCAACCTCATCAAACCTTTATCATACAATTGTTCTCCCCCCGCGTCATCCAAGTTTCCACTCAGACTATTTTGTCTGTATAACCCTATTTGCAAGAATAAAGTTCACAGTCATCTCGTGTTTTACACAATTAACCGAAAGGAAACGATCACGGATTGTACCAATAAATAGTCCGGAAAAAGTTCCCTGAGCCACAACCAAACAAGCAAGCAACTTCACCGTCAATAATTGAACATTACTAACCCACCATTTACAAATAAAATCAAACCTCTCCAGAAGAAAGCCCTTCGCTAATAAGCTCTAAATTACCTGAGAGGCTCTCCTAACAATTCATAACAACCATTGCTGACTAATTTTATGAATGGACAATTGGAGGTATTTGATTACACTTCTATGATAGGAATTAGACTGTAAACTAACTTATACCGTTAATCATTCTTACATATTTAAGAAAAGTAACTAAAATGAATAGGTTTCTTCCACAACAAAGAGCTATCTTTTCTCTTGGCTACAATCAATAAGCTTAGCAGTTTGTTTCGAGACAAACGCTTCGAGACAAGCGCCATCAGATGCTTCACTGTGAACGATGAATGCTTTCTTTGTTAATATACACTCATTGGTTTGCGCTGGAGCTATCGCAACAAATAAATTTTCACACTATGACTTCAGTGATCGCAATGTGATGTTCGATGTAACAGATAGCAATTAGAATATGTTATGCATAAATAAAATGATAACTAATTAAGGCTTTAAAATATAATAATTTAAATAAATAATAATAAATACGGGGAACATAAGATATTGCCATCCAATCTTTTATCACTACTCATATATTATTTGGCGCCTGTCATAGAATTTTGACCTTGGCATAGATTTGAAATAAAATTTGATAGTAAAACGAATCATTTTACTAAAAATTTTGAAGGTAGAAAAAGTTATTACATCCGTAAAGTTTGAGACCAAATTTTTTCTTCTTATCCTTCTAAAAATGAACAAAATTAGAAAATCTCTTTTGAATATAAATGTAAATATTAGCGGAGAAGCACAGTGTAAATAGAATGGGAAGAGTTGAAATAAGAAGAAAGCTCATTATTATATAAAATGAAATGTACGTTGTCGTTAAATCAGTTTCATTTTATTTCATTGTCGAAAATTAACTTAAATGGAAATTGGAAGGAGTAGCAACGCCTGAGCGCTTTCTATCAAATGAAAATAGATGTCACTTTTAATACTCTTAACAACTCAACTATTAAAGCAATTTAACATCTGTGCCCCTTTCACTTCTCTTTCACTCATATTGATTTTCAAGCGATGAATGAATGCAAATTAGAGAAATTGCAAAAGAAAAGAAAAAAAATTGCTAAAAAATTAAAAAATTTAATCGTTTGACAATCACTTGACTGCTTGATAACGGAAAAAAATTTCATGACTGTTTCATAATAAACATGCAATATTACATGTGACACTATTGTCTCATAAAATAATGTGACACGACTTAAAGATGAATTATGACTTTATGACTAATAATTTCAGGTAATTAACAGTTTTAGACCAAATCAAAACTTTGCTAATTTATACAAGATGATAAGGAAACTGTGATAAGGAGGATAGGTATGAGTGTGTATCAGATGAAAAAATTGATGGAAAATCAGACGCAATACAAGAAATATCATTTTCTCTAAAAAAACGTGTCAATTCGATTGTAGCATGTGATAAATGATTTATGCAAAATAAATGGAAAGGACTTAAAAGTGAGAATGTATTGCGTTTCTTCAATAAACTGATATAATCTAAAGGTCATCGGATAACTCGATGTTTTAAGAAATTTTGAAGATATCATTTTTTGTGGAGTACAACAACAACAACAGATAATGTTGATAAACGCCTACTTCAAAGATTTATTTATTAAATTGAAATTACATGAAGTGTAAGAAATTGAATGAATAAAAAGTAAGCGTCAAGTTGTACAAAAATCAACAAATCGAAGCATCGCATTTGTCTGCCTTCGGGTCGCATCATTTGTTTGATTGAGTGGTGGTGACGACGATGGTTCGGCTGCTTGATATGTGTACGTCTCTGTTGTCCTTCCCTGTCCCACTCCTGTCGTCTGTTTCTGAAATGAAGTTTTCAGAGATGTTGAGCTTTAGCAGTTCTAAGGGTTTGGTAGGCTGCAATGTTCAACGATTAATTTTGTTTACATATCTAAACACGAATTAACATACGTGGAATAAAATCTGGTCTGAAGTAAATGTATGTTAAATGTATGTTAGAAAAAAATTATAGTAAATGTATGTTAGAAATTTTGTTTTTCAAAATATTGAAATTTCGAAAAATTCTTTCTTATTCCACGTATATGATTATGATAACGCAATTAATTTTCATTTTTTTTTTGAATTTTTGATTAGTTTTCCACAAAGATTTCGAGATGAAGTTCTTTATAACAAGTTTAAAAATTCATATCGATTCGGGTAGTAAATTTTCACAGAAATGCAATCGATTTGAAAATTAAAAAGATTTCTGGAATGCCATTATATTTCACATGCTGCTTTCATTCAACAAGCATTGAGCCAAGCTTTTCAGACACCATTATTGACTGATAGCATGAATAATGGCTAAGGCATTATTCTAAAAGCTCAGACCACAATATTCCGCTGTTTTGGTAGACGAAAGCCATATCAAATGCACATTTTATTCTTACATAAAGCTATAGCAATACAATTTATGATATTTGCTATTCGCACTTTTATTTTGATGAAAAATATATTATTCATTCAGTATGGCGAAGAAATCTGCCAAAAGAAATTTTGCTATATGAGCATACAACATCTCGTACGATTGATTTTCAACATCTTTCCCGAGAATGTTCATGTGTACCATGAATATCCTCGGGCATAGATGTTGAAAAGTAAATGTTAATTCATGACAATGTAATAGATGATCCGATTGAAATAATACAAAATGCACAAACAATAATGTCATTGTGATATCACCATTTCATCATTTACACGATCCCTCAGAATGCATCAAAATCATCGAACTCACTTTCTAACTGGTCGATCTTAGTTATTTACTCGTCACTTTACTCATAATGTGAAAGTTTGGTTTTTACAAGTATTGATAGAGTTAAAAATTTTCACTTCCATCAAATTGAATAGAAAGTTGCATTGTCAATTTAGATGTTTGAGTGTGATAATTGCTGACGGCGCAATCATCACATTTAATCCAGTTTCCATTTTGAAGTTGCACTTTTTTCATTGATTTTTTAAAAACTTCCTGATTCACAATTTCATTTCTAAATTTTAGATAAATGTTGCATGTTGAATTTCAAGCAACTCATGTCTTTCAACAAAATGATTAATTTTTAAATCGAAACCTGTCTGCTTCCGATGCGCAATATTTTTAGAATTTATTCTTACTTTTTTTGCTTTTAAACTCTTTCGGAAAATCCCTATTTTGTCGACGAACAAAGATAAAACTGTTACGATTGTTTTTTTTATTTGTAACTATGAACAAATTAAAATATAATATTTCACGATTTGCCTGACAGAATAAATTATTTGAATTATTTAAATTCCATATTAATTACTTATGGTTTTTTGAAATTTTCACAATTACGAAGTCTCATATATTGTCAATCAGGCTCATTTCTTTCATTAATTCTTTCGTTGAAAGATTACTGACCTCCTCATTGTTAGGACTATTGTACTGCTCATTATTGTAAATCTCATAAGACCTATTATATGTGATGTCACTGTGATCACAACAGGTGCGTCTGCAACAACCACCCACAAAATACAAATATGGTTGCATGCGATAGTTTTGTTTGTGGTATTTTTGGTGGTAGCGGTGATCGTTATCGTTGCACAGGTAATTCCACATCTGCTTCATTTTGTCATTTCTGCTTCTCCAATTTAGATTATTGTTCTTGCTCTTCCATTTATTCTGGTGCTTCCATCCACTCTTATAATTGTTATTCCAAAAACTCCGGTGGCTACTTCTTCCCGATGGATTTCGTCTCTTATTATTCCATCTATTACTGTGCCAATTCCTATTCCAATTAGGACTTGATGATAGTCTATTATTATTATTATTGTTGTTATTCCACTTTGAGTGCCTGTTATTGTTATTGCTTTCACGATTCCACGGCTGGTCACTATCATTGTTTTTATGATTCCATAGCTTGTTCTGCAGTTGGTCAATCAGTAATGAATTGTTACTGTTCCAGTAAATGTCGCTATTATCCCATATTGAATGATTATCACTATCATCCCATATTGATTGGTTATCACTATCATCCCATACTGATCGGTCGTCAATATTATTTCGTACTGATTGATTATCGGTATTATAGTACTGCAATTGATTATTAGTTGGTGATTGCAGTTGATTTTGTTGGTTGAAACGGTGCGCGCGCGTGTTAGAAACTGCTACTCCCTGAAATGATATAACAACGATAAATTAAAATTGATAACTCATAAAAACTCATTTAATAGGCGGAAGAAGCACTGTGAAAATACCGAATAAGCTAATTGTTCGGGAGATATTTGCTTACTTACTTGACCAATGTCTTTTTGAATGACTTCTTTGGCAACTACAACTGCACAAATGGTCGACAGTAATCTGGAATATCGTATTTTATATTAAAGTTTCCTTATAAGAAAGATTTGATAAGGATGAATGTCTCAAAACTTTTAAACTAATTGGTATTGGGCACTATAGATTTTATTCAGTTTTTTAATACCCAATAACTTGAAAAAAAAAATGTTAGGGACGACCAGCAAATTAATTCGACGGTTGTTCTCATCAATTGCTTCAACGAATTTTTTTTGTAGAAAAAGTAAATGTTACAAGAAAATGCTGAAATCGTTTAACTGTGTACCGAACAGTTTCAACTTCATGTTTTTCACATCTTAAAAAATCAGCAGAAATTCATTGCAATGCAAATTTTCAAATAATTTTTGGAGAATTTAAAAAATTGTAGAATTTCGGAAACTTACAGCGTCAGAGAAAACATTAAAAAAAATCGCGTTTTCATTCTGAAAAAGTTTTTTCATTAAAGCAATCAGCAAAGATTTGCGTCCAATGCAACTGAAAACTATCATTTTCCGCATGCAAGCTATTTACTTTGAGTAATTTCGGAATTTTCCTAAAAGTTTACACTGTCGTTCTTCAATGACTTTGAAATACTTTGAAAGAATGGGACAGTAAGGGAAAAGAAAAGCACTAAAAAAGATGAAATGCGATTTTCATTCCAAACACTTCTTCATTTTGAAAGAATTTGCTTCAAACTAACAAGAACTAAATGCAAATTTCAAGCTATAAAATTTGAATTCATATCAAATAAGCTAAGCACTCGTCTACAAATAAATGTCCGAACATAAAATGGTTTTGTCTTTTGCATTTAAATCAGATACATATGTGTATCATTTGCTTACACAATGTGATCAACACATCAAGACTGTCCATTTATCACGTTCATTTACTGAGCGATGCTTTCTGTTGTCCACTTTGCTGTTCCTACAAGTTTCTTCAAAAGTTTATTTCAATGAATGTGGAGGGTGAATGCAATTTGTGAAAACATTTAAACTTTTCTGCACTATTTTCCCCTCGAAATCCGTCATAGTATCAACAAATTCCAGATCCAGAATTATTTCAAGAAATAAAACAAACATTTCGGGGACGATTTGAATGAAATGTCATGACAGATCAAAATAAAATTTGGAACACTTTCGCTCTTCAACATAATCCAAATCTGACCTCACATTTTGTCAATAATGATTTCGCATCTTTACCTCAAAAAGTGACAGATTTTATCTCAATTCGAAAAAAAAATGAAGAGTTATCTTTCCACAAAAAAAAGAAAGTTCAGATAACATTTTTTAATATCAAAGATATTTTTAATTTTATTTTGTGACTGCAAATTGTTAAACTAGAAGGTGTAAATTTTGTTTCATGTCTATGATATTCTATAATTAATTGTAAGATACAATCACCGTAAGCATAAGCTATTCAAACAAAACTAGATAAGTCTCGAATAATAAAATTTATAAAAATTAATTTATATTTTGATCTCAAAAAAATCTTTTTCATTTATTTAGGAATGATTATAATAAGCTAAGACAGTAATTTTGCACAACGTTGCAATTACATGCATGGATGTTGCCCCAGGCAACAAACTATTCTGGCCAAATAATTCCAAACCATCTCCCAATTGTGTCATTTGAGAATAGAATGATTAATTCGAATGTGGTAAGCATTTGGACAGTTTGAATTTCAATTAATTTATTGTTTTTTTAATGAGAAAAACATCGTGTGCAGGAGAAATAGAGTAAACAGTCTGAGGAAACGAATTTCAACACTTCTGCTCTCAAATATCTTCAGACATTATTTCATTTTTCTTATGAAATCGGGAAAATGTTTAAAATTGCATTACATCGGTTAATGTTAGAAGAAAACTGTTGTTATTTACATATTTCAATTTACTGAATTTATTTATCATTTTTCAATTTTGAACTAATGCGCAATTTTCCTTCAGCGATCATCGCTTCCATTGCAAATTATTCTGTACCTCAATCGTCCTATATCATGCATTTTTGTTGCAATTATTTTATTTTTATATTTCTTCAAAAGTAAGTGTAATTCTATTCCTACTTCTTACTTTTATCTATATTAAAGAATATTTAAAATTTTATCGAATAAGCAGACATTGATTTTTAGTGCAAAAAAAGACAGAAAGAAATAGAAAAATGCGTATGAAATGGATTTTTTCAAGTTTATTATTATTTGTTGTTTCACATATTCTCTCTTCATTTCATTTGGTGATAAAATTTTCCCTCCCAATTTTTCCTTATTAATTTTTAGTACAACTGATTTTTGAATTTCATTAGAAATGTTATTTCTCTTCAATTTTTAGCTTAAAATTAAGTTCGCAAGAGGATTATTTTGAATTTATCGAATCAAATATGAGTTTTTTATAAACCAATTTATCCTAAAGGACTAATCAAAAAATTTAGCGCGAATTTTAGCATAATAATCTTATTTAGCTTCAAACTTTCAATTACTGTCAAATTTCTGAAGTGGAAATTTGGATTTTCATTTCATCATTTCATTTGTTACATGAAAAAAATAGTGAATTACAGTATCAATACTACCATATGCGACAAATGCTAAAATTTGTGAACTTTTGCTGATCATTCTTTTCATTCCAAATGAGGCCATGCGTTTGTATTGGGGTAATATTTTTCTTTTGTTCACAAAAGTGCTGTAAAATGATTAGAATGTACGGAACTGTTCTTTTTATAATTGTAAAGAACGGTTGAGCATTTTTGTCCTTCCAAAAATATTTATTGGATTCAATCAAAGTTTTTTTTTCATCCAAAATTTTAGCTTATGATATAATAATTGAAGGGTTATAATTTTCATGTTATGCTTTATAAACTTTTCGTATTTAAAAATGATACAAACTCGATGCTAAGCCAGAAATTATTAAATATGCTTTGATTTACATATTATACATGGAAAAGAACATTCATTGATGATGTTTTACATTTGCAATACCAATTTCATCCTAAATTTATTTCCAGCGCGCAAAGGGAATCTCACTGAGACGAGTGGGTATTTATCATTTGCTCTTCTTTTAAATGTGCTAACGCTGTCACTTTGTGTTTATTGGGCTTTATTTCAAAGCTATGTTTTATTCATCGAATTTGTCATCGTTTGTGTGGAAGCAATTTTAGTAATCATTGAAACATGGTTTGCAATCATCGCTATTGCCAATTTTTCGAGGTTTGAAAATTTCTCAATAAATTTCAAGCCGATTTAATTTTATTTCATCGTTTGTTGCAATGAATAATGAAAGAAATTTTTGTGCGATGCGATATTTTTCCGCTTGAAATTTGTGTTTTACAAAGCTGTCATACCTGTATGTTTGTTTAGAATTTCACTGAAACTTTCCATAATCCATAATTCCGTATAAGAAACAATTCAGTTTAAGATGCTCCGTCTCAGTGCAATAAAATTCTCTGTGTGCCAATTTTCTGTACTTATAATGGTAACATTCAAAGCGTAAGCAAAATAAAAAGATGGAATTTGCATAATTCACCAAAAGTTAATTTGTTACTCGCAGTTATTACTCTGCTGTTTTTTGGCATTGCTTAAGATTCCAACCTTAAAATAAACAAAAAAAGATTTCAATGTAATTCCTTGTTCACGAAAAGCTATTTAATTTAAGCACAGAAAAATAATTAATTGTGGTTAACTTCTTTGTATAGTTGTATTATTATTAAAAGTCGTCATTTAACTGAAATATTTTCAGATCCTCTAATATTTAATGGCATAAAACATCAACATTTGGAAAATAACGATCTTAAACTCTTCGAAGAACTTTCAGTGCTCAGGTCAATGATACATCTGAACTAATTATGACAGTTTTAAAGAAGTGTTTAGGATAATCTCTTCTTATTTTAGCTGATGTGACTCTTTAATGAGAACATCCATCAACTGAGTTTGTCAAGAAATTGAATTTGATGCCGTTTGTTTTCCATACGCTACAAATTGCTTCACACATGCAATTTATCTTCATAGCTGTCAAACAATTCCAATGCTAACCTAATTTTTCCGATGCCAAGAAATTATTTTAAAGTACTGTAGCACAAATTAAAGAGTACTTATGAAGAGTATCAGGCAATAAACATAATTTAGGGTAAATGGGAAATTGTGAAGGTCATTTGTCATCAAGAAATTCTAGATCTATCACTACACTATCTCTTATCAGCTACTACTTACGGCTGAGAGAGAAAAATTGATGTCATTATGAAAGAAGAGATCATCTAATCTAAAATGTAAAAACATTTTTTCTTTACTTATGCCAAAAAATTTAATAATAATTATATTTCAAATGGTACATAAGGGAAAAGATAAACTTTTAAATGAAAAAAATATCGATAAGATTTATCAATTTGGAATCTTTTGAAATATAAACTTCACAGAGGTCTAGAACTACTTAAAACTTGAAAGCATGCATTTTTTATAAATTCCTGCAATGCTTTTATGTGTGCATTATTGTTCTTCATATACATGTATATTTCAAATACTAATGGATATCTCTTAATTTAAAACTGAGTCTTTTTATTCCAGTAAAAATCAATTCTTTTTTTACAGTATTAAGGGATGATTTTTTATATTCTCTGAATTGAATGGTATATTTTTTAATGCGAAATTCGATTGAAGTTATGGTATTCCTTTGTCAAAAGAAATAGAATTCGTGAATGTGAAAATTTTTGTATGAAAATTGAAAGTTATTGAAATGGATCTACAGATCATTCAAATGATCATTTCCTTTAACTTTCTTTGCTCCCGCATCATTGTATTTAATTACAAAGATTATTTGAATTATTATTTTTTTCCTTTATTTAATTACAAGGATTATTTGAAAGATGTGAATAAATTTTTGTTGGATTTTTGAATGAGTAGAAATTGAAGAGAAATTGACGAAATAATGAAATGAAAAATAGGAAATAAGGTTTTGTGGCATGTAATAATCTGACGACTTCAAAAAATCAAAAAGTGTTGGTGATATTTTTAATCTCGTATAAGACGCTAAGCCAAGAATTTTTAATTACTTTGGCATTCTTCCAATAAGTTCTGGATGATGAGTGGTAATGGTGATTGAAGAGTGCATGCCCGTTTTTCAGATTTCATTCTCTTTCTGGACTTGTGAAAGTTGGTAAGTGTTATCGGCTAAACAACTGGGAAAGTACCTAAATCAGGTTTTATCTCATGAAATTACCATTAATACTAACTTTTCAAAAATGCATCTGCTCATTTTTCTCTCCCACTCCCTTTTTTTCTACCCAATTAGAGAAAAAGAGAAATCTCTCTGATGATGGAAACAATTATTCCTTCCCACCTTTCGATCCCGCACTCCCCGCACTCCAAGCACTTTTTGTCGTTTCCACCCGGTGTGTAGCTTTTGCGCTTCATGTTTCTTTTTTTCAGGCGTTATTAAGGAATGATTCGTGGAAAATGTTGTCAGTCAACAAAATGTTGTCTATGAATTGTAGCTGCCTTTCAGTGTTTATTTTTCTGCACGCTACTTACGGGTAAGATTGAAATCATTTTCTCACAAATTTCAATAAATTTGAACACTGTTTCAGTATATTGGAATTTCTAATTAAGATTTTAATTATTTTAGCATTCTTTTGATAACTTCTGACTGATGAGAAAAAAACTTTTTCAAACGTAGTTAAATAATCTTGAAGTGCTATGCAATTTTGAATTATTATATGGTTGAGAAAAAAACTTTGAATACTAGATATCAAGTTGCATGTCAAAAATCAAATTCGAAATTGGAACTAAAATATTTTAATGAATTTTCCAAATTCACAATTCATCATTTTGATGAATATATTCAAGTTTTTTGCACTAAAGTTATTTTCATTTTTTGAAATTTGCCAGATTGACAGCGGAAGAATATGGGGAATTAGCTCGAAAATACAAGTATTATTATGCGTCAGTTAGACCACAAGAACGAAACAATCGTGTCACCGATGCCAATGGGACATTTTTTGCTCTTAATTCTGATCTTAGGATCATTTCAACTAAACCTCATCATGTAACAGATTTTTCAAAATTTTAAAATTAAGTGCGGAGTAAAAAAGATATCACGTGGATTTAGCATTAGAATGATCAGATGGTATATCAGTAAAAGGTACTACTAAAGTTCTGTATTAAGATGATCAGGTGATACGTCAGTTTCTCTGATGTTCCAATAAGGAGAAAGTGGAAAATGAGTAGCAATAGTCGAGAAAAATAGCAATAACTAACAAAAAACACGATCTATTTTCATTCTTAAATTGGATTTTATTCTGTACAGAACAAAATTCATATGGAAATAATATTCGGTGTTACATTTACCGATGAAAGGCTCACTATCCGTGAATTAAAAAACCGATTTCAAATGCCTACAGAGTATCATCCATGGCTTCCGGAAATTGTAACGTATCCCTCTGTTCCGGTTAATATTGTTGTCTATTTGGATCCATTAATTGGCATCGTGGATGCACTTTACCGGTTCATAATTTGTTTATAATTGAAATGTGAACTGAGTACGTGTAATTACACTGAGTAATTTTGTGTAATGATAAATGAAAAATGAGTACTGACAGTTCCAAATGAAAGTTTTAATACAGTTTGTGTTACTTGACAAACAAATTCAAATCAAATTATTAGTAAGAAAGGCATCAATATCTACAAATACTTTTAATGTAAAATTTCCACTTCACATTTCGAATTTTTATGGTGGATTTTCAACAGACAATATTTGTAGTACCACTGAGTGCGACACTATTTCAGATACTCTGTGGATCTCCCTTGTTCATTCGAAACTTGGCGGCATCCTTTCGAGTTATTCCAATGCGAGATTGTTATATCAAATATTGGAGGTCTTTAATTGTCTATAAAATTTACATGCACTTTTGCAGACGGATAAATAAAAAGCTGTACTGAAACTTTTTTCATTTCTCCAAATTTTTGTCAATTTTTCCTTTCAGATGAGCGTATTTTTCTTCGTGACTTCCAGGATCTGCGTAATATAGAAGAAATCTCAAAAGTTTCGGTCAATGTTGGTGAGTTTTTGACAGTCAAAGTGACAAAAGATATATTGATCAATTTGATAGAATCAAAAATGAAACTTTCACTAATTAATTATTAACCAAATATTTGATTCTTTGAGTCATAAAGCTGACATATGAAGTAACACGAGACTGAGATTCGGCTCCACTTGTGAATTGAAAATAACTTTCAAAATTTACTCAAAAATGCATTCACTGTAAACGTGAATAATTGAATCTGATAAGTAAGTAAGTTGAAGGAACAAAAAATTACGATCACTATAGGGAGAGTTTTGCAAATATTTCAAAATTTTAGAGACATTCAAAGAAGTAAGGATTATTGCGAGTTATCCAAAATTATGGTTCTCATCAATGGTTGTTAACATACTTCCTTCCACAGTCATTTTTTGCGTTGTTATTTTTGCACAGTACAGGCGCCGTAAAGTCCATACATTGGTTACTATATCTGCTTTCGTGTGCATTATTTTCATGGTAATTTAGCTTGAGTATTTTTTATAGAAAATATTGTATGACTATTGGAAATGTTAAATTGAAAATATAAAGTTTGATTGAAAATACTAAATTTGATCCAATATTAACAATTGATAGTAAAAACTTCTCAAGCGTCCTTTCGATGGATTTGTATTTCGATACTCAGCACCTTGTTCGATTAGTAATCACTACTTCTGAACTTGTTTACATCCAATTCAGTTCATACAATTTCAAATTAATTTTCATTTAGCAATCAGTCCGCAAAACAGAAAGTATTCTAACCTTGGAAGATTTATGGTTGTGTGTTACTTTTTTGCATGTTTCCTGCGTCCTATTAGTTGATCTAATGATACCAACATATCGTACTCAATACGTTGATATTACCAATGCCCAATTCATAAATATTATTCCTGATGGTAAGTTTTAATGAATAGGATGTAAAATTTATTTCATTTTTTAAAGTCAGTTTAAGGATATTATAAGTTAAACAAAATGATATTATGAAAGTTAACTGAGATTCCATTCTACAGACGTGGATATCGTGAAACCAATCTCATCAGTAATGAGACTGACAACTTCTCATGACACGTCCGGTAAACATGCGCAAATGACACAGCAACAAATAACAATGACAACATTGGGACTGCGGAAACAGCTGTCTCTCGCAATTATCACATGTTGCTATTTCATTTTTGTCGTTACTTATTTCATGTTTGCACTTCATTTAATTTTCAAGGGAAGAAACTTCTTACAGTGGTATTTACAATAATTTCAGTATACATCATTTGCATTAGAAATCAACTAATAGAGGAAAGCAATTCTCAATTCAATTATACAAGGGAATCAACGATTATGATCTTGAAACAGTACCTTCTTCATTCCCAAATAAATTAAGAGATGAGCGTATATGCGTGTTACACAAAACATTTAGTCAATTTCCAGTAATTGCTCGTTAGCCTGACATTCATTGTAAGGAAAAAGTAATTATACTCTGAGAAGTAACATTTTCCCGAGTGTTTTTTATTCCTAACATAAAAATGTATAAATCTAAAGGAAGACATATTCTGGTCCTGCGACCTCCATACAAAGGTCAAAAGTGAACAATTTATATCTTTAAAAGAGATTGATGTCTAAATATTATTGCAAGTAGTATATTTCCATCTTTAGAAAACAAATTCTTTGCCGCAATTATATCTCCTCCAAACAGAATCAGAAGCAAACGCATATTGTTCCTGGATTTCACATGTAATAGAACAATTTATTTTGACATATTTTTAATTCATGAACAAACCATTAATATCGAATATGAACAATGAATACTAAATAAACAAACAAAAGAATGCTCGAATTGTGTCGGAATAACCGAAATATCTTAATAAAGTAATTGGTGAACCATTTAATATGCAATTTCTTCCTGTCTAAAAACTTAAATTTATATTCCCGATTAAAATTTGGAAAGGAGATTTCTTGTTCACTCAGCTTCTTATGTTTGCAAAAAGAGAAGCACTTCTATTCGGTTCGAAGAATCAAATCTCTTTACTAAACTACAGTTTTAATCAAATTCCTATCAAATTTTCCTTATTACCAACAAAAAAGGAGCAATCTAATGGTCAACTCTGCCTGCGATATTTTCCAATAATAGGAAAAGGAATCTTATTGTCGCGAAAGTCGGAAATTTCAAGAATATTATAAATGATCAAATGTTTATGGATATATTATATATATATTTTTATATATTCATTGTAATAAGGAATATTACTGTCTCTTAATACATGTTAATACGTGTCAATGTTAATGTTCTTGTTTAAACCAAATAACACAGTCATCGTGTACTCCATATCCTTTCCCATCCTTGCCTCCAATTATTGTATTACATGATCTCCTTTGCTCTTATATCCTCCAATAACTTTCCTTATTTTCCCGCGTTATAATACGCACATACTTGCCTATATAATACATCAATTCATTCATCATTATTCATTCATTCTACTTCTTCTTCTTTGGGGTTATGGTTTTGGTTTATTTTTGTGCCTCTCGTTTTTTGTGTTTAATATCGTGTCTTTACTATAGTTTAATTACCCAAGTTTGAGGTTCTAATAAACGCGCAAACGATTCCTACTGTCCACACATTTCAACCAAGGCAATCTATTTTCGCTACAATTTATTGGTGCCACGAGCCGGGAACTACAATGTCGACCTCCTTATGCAAGTCTGCCCAACCAACAATCGAAAGGATAATTACACTCCTTGAAGATATCAAGAAACTTGACCTGACGCCACCAGACCGAAATCAACCGCTGGAAAAACAAAAAAGGCAATGTGGAATGAAAAAACGAATCGTCAAGGATAAAATTAAGCGATTCGAAACGTACGTTGGTATGTTGGAAACAATCAACCAAATGGCTAGACCTCATACAACAAACTACGACAGCAACGAAGAAAAAGGAGGAAGAAGAAAAGTATGAGAACATGGTCGATGATAAGCAAGGTATTTTAAGCTTAATTAATAGTGGTAAGGAAGCAATTATCACTTTAAGTTCATATCACGATGATTTTGAGATGGTTACTAAAGAGACACCTTCACCTATCTATCATTCAACAATACACTTATACAGTTACCACTACCAATCTTTAGTGGAAATCCAAAACTGTGGCGTGAATTCTGGAATGCAGCTGTACATCTCCAGGAAATTCCAACTATTCAAAAGCTCACTTATTTAATTTCATATTTAAAAGAAGCATTAGAAGCAGTAAGAGGTTCGATGTAGCTCCAAAAAACTATAATTAATAAGGCAGGTTTTAACCGACAAATTCGGAAAATCTGCTAGTATAGAAAAATTATTATATGACGAATTCCATTGTATCAAACGGAACGATAAAGAATGGAAACTAATTGTGGAAGCGATGGAAGGAACCCTTCGACATTTAGAAGCAATAGGTGAAGACTTAGAATACTCCAGCATAGAAATAACTATTGAATTGCCACCGTAGATCTTAGATAACGTCTATCAATTAAAGGAAGAAAAAGAAACTTGGACAGTAGGTAACCTTCGACAGTTTCTAATGAAATTAGTCCAGAGAAATGAAGAGATAAATACGAGCCAAAAACTCCGTCAGGAACAAACTCCAAAGAGAACGTCTCACTTCAGTAAGAAGGAAGAAACCTCCGCCTTATTCACAACAAAACAATTCAAACCAACTAAGGCAAAGAACTCCCAATCAAACAATAATTCAAAGATTAGCAAGGAAAAAAGACCTTGCACATTTTGTAATAAAAACCATTAAGAAACGAATGTCCCAATTACCCCACGGTCAAGCAACGCCTGAAAAAGGTAAAGCATGCACTAATTGCTTCTGGATGGAGCATACAACACACAATTGCAATCAAAGGAGACGTCTATGTTTCCATTGCAAACACCAGCATAAAACGGCCTTGTGTTATATAAAATATGGCTTACTCAACATTGATCAAGATGAAGAAACGAATTCGGCTATCATCACTAATTCGACAAATCAATCAATCATCAAAGTTCGCAATCCTCCTTTGTGTCAAAGAAACTAGTCGATCGATTAAAATTAAACGGAACCGAAAAGGAAGATTTAAAGCTTTTCTCTTTTGGTAACGAAATTCCAAAATTCTATCAAATTACAAAGGTAAAACTGGGGATAAAAACATTAGAATCTGGAATTATCACTATTGACGCCTGCACATTAGATTATTTGACTGGTAAACTACAAGTTATCAAGTCAAATCCTCACAGTTCGACCATAAACTAATGGCAACTGGATGAGACAGGAGGATACTGGAGACGTCCAGACATACTAATTGGAGCCGACTACTTCTTTGAATTTATGTCACCGCACAAGCTTCGCAATATGGCATCTGGATTCTACATTATCTCCACCAAGGTTGGTCCTATAATAACAGGTAGTGGATACATGACTTGCAGTTCTAATCAAATTGATAGTGATTCTGACAGAATTAATTCGATCAGTGTGACCACTGTTACAACACATCCAGATATCGATCAGTTTTGGGAACTAGAATTAATAGGGATCCAAGAGCAACCAAATGCACAAGACGATGAAAAAGCTCTAAATCTGTTCAAACAAACCATCACTAAGGGAAACAATAGATACCGAGTTTGCTGGCCATGGAAAATTTTGCTGTCAGAAACTGATAGAGTCTGTCAATCTAATCAAAGATGCAAAACAGGCGAAAGAAAAATCGGAGCAGCCTCATGAATTTAAAGTTGCCAAGAGAATTACTCAGTAATATGAAGTTTATTCAGTTCAAACAGCCTAAAATGTTATGAAACACGTGCAACATGATGAAAAGATATTGCATCCATAAGATGTCTGTAAAAAGTGCATAGATTAGGATTTTATCTCTGAGCATATATGCCACTACAAGCAATCCTGTAATGTAGTATACCTGAACATACTTTGAAACATATATAACTTATGATGCTCAAAGAACACTATTTATTTGCACTTCGATTCGATTCAAAAATGAATAAAATGAAAAAAAAATACCACGAACATTACAAATTATTGTAAAGGAAAGTTTTGGATTTGCAGATCGAACTTATAGATCGAAGTTTTGTAAATGGCTAAGATTATTAAGAACGACTGTCCAAATTCTCAAGTTTATAAAACTGATAATAAACAGAAAATTATCACGGTTACAACTATTGACAACTGAGAAAAGTTGACTCACAAAGTGATGACAGATATTAATTAGACAAATGCAATCACAAAGAATAACGGACACAAAAATAAAAATTAATAATGAAAAAACTCACGAATTCATTCAAGCAACAACAAGAGAATATTGTAAGTGGATATTCGTTCAGTATTCTTAGAAAATGGAATTGTGAAGAGATTTCAGAAAACTTCATATCAACCAAAGCTTCATATCATGCATATATTCGAACCCACGCGCATATACCTGCAATCAGCAATAATATTACTTAAAAATTATGTACTAAAGCGTTCCTCGCATTATCATTATCTATAGTTTCTGACCAAGAACTATTGCAACATTTTTGCATTTATGCAGGGCAAAGGAAAATAAATGTAATTGTCTTAAAATTCTTCTAACAAGTGGATGACATATAATGATATACAATACTCCTATAAATAGTTAGGAGTTAGATGTCAATTGATAACAAATTTTGTTTAATCAAAGCAGAAACATTCCTCTATTATTTATAATTTTTTGAATTATAATCGAATTGTAAGTTGATTGACCTATTTTCAATGATTGATGATATAACTGATATAAAAATTCGAAAATTCAACGAAAAAATCAGAGTCGAAGAAAATTGCTCGTAAGAAAGTAAACTCAAATCGGCTTCAAAGGATCAACTATGATGGTAATAAATCCTAAGTAAAAAACCGATGCAGAAAAGATAAAATTCTAGTACATTTTCAACTGTCTACAACGAAAATTTAAACAACTAAAGGATATTCTCTAATAACTATCATATAACATATATAAAGAACAAATTCTCGATCAATCAACTCATTATTGCAGCTATTTGTCGATGCCAATCATCAAAAAATTTGCACGACAAATTGCACTTTAAGAATAATGTAACAGTACTGCACAAACATCCTCTTAACTGATAACTGATTCTAAAAGATAGTTTTAATAAAAAAGGCAAATTCATGACCAGATTTGACCATTAGGCCAAATCGTATGGGTCAGAATCTCACATTCCTCTAAAAGATTGAGTGAGAAAGTGAAAATCATCAACTTAAAATTTAAGAGGGGTTGAAGAACTACGGATTTATTCTACTTGCAATTTTCATAAAATATAAAATCCGAAACAGCGAATAGGAATCTCTTGAAAGAAACATTAACATACGCCATTAGGTACCTATTATCGGTTCTCTTCTTCAACTTTCCACACTTCTTCGAAACTGGATGTTAGTTTAGAACATGTCAAAGCAGCGCTCAACGGAAAATTGCTTAGTTTCACTTCTTCCTCGGTATAATCCACAGTAGCCTATAAACGCCTTTCTCAATATTAGATGTATTGCAATAATTTACAATAGTGGATGAAGGGAAAAGACAATTCGGTAATTCTGATCTCGACTAAGAAGTACTGCTAGTCGAGACGAAAACAACATAACAAATTTGCCCACTTTTCCTTTCGCAAATCCACCAATAACGACTGCGATGGGTTTATTATCAGCGCTTTCTGCAAATTGCCTACAAGTCATGTATTCTGATGCTTGATATGATGCCAGCACTTTCCGACAACCAGTGGGCAGATGGATGGTTACTGGATTCCTAATCACTTTCAACAACTTCACTGAACTGTCGGCTGCACGTATCGATAATTTATGTAACAACTGCACTAAAATAGAACAATGCTCAGTTATTCAATGCCAATTTTATAAATTAATGATTTTGAGCAAGTTGGATTAAGAATTATGAAATTAAAAAATGCAATCTCAAAAGACTAATTTATTTATATAGTGTATTTATATTTTACACAAAAAACGAACACCACACAAGATATGAATTTGGCTAATAAGCTGGTAATGAAAGTATGTAAAATAAAAGGAACCCATCAAACCGCAGAATCGATCGAATGTCCTCGGGATACGAATCTGAGGGTTTACTTCGATTAGTATGTTATTGGCGGTATGCACATAAATTTGCAATAAATCTGCTCGATTTAATGGACTATCAAGAAGCATCAGGAGACACTGCAAGCAATAAATTAGAAATTGTGATAAGTAGGTGCCTTTAAAAACTGTGATAAGTAATTCAACACACAAAATCTGATCAATAATGTGAATAATTTAGAGTTGTTATATGTCAAATGTTGTCAAATTTTTTCTATCCAATTTCTGGTTTTAAATGTTTTGATATTTCAGTATGATAGATTTCGAGGCATGGAAGGATAGATTTATAATAATATAAAATAGTACAAGTATTAACCTAAAAGATGCGTCGACACAAGTTTTGGTGAAATTCTGATTCAATTACTAATCTATATGTAACAAAAGATTTAAGAAAATATAACGGACCAGAAAAATTAATTCGATATTCGAAAAAGAAAAGAAACATTCGTTCAACATTTAAAATAATGGAATATCTACCTGATGTAGAATATCTGGCCGAAAATCAGCGGGATCTTTTTTCTGGTTCCGAATAAAGTTGGCATGTTTGTCACTAGAGAGAATCACATAATCTTTGCCTACCTGCAAAAATGTGAATTCGAATTCAAATTCATTGCTGAAAGAGTAAAATTATCATGTAAAATCAGTTAAAAGAAAATAAATAAACAAACATAGTGTTATCTTCTATAATATATATTTACTAGCATGTAATCTAAAGTTAATTGAGACTTATTCTCAAAATTCCATTGAAATTATCTCTGTAGCTGTTAAAAATATGTAACCTTCGCACTCTCTAACGAGCATTTCTCCATTATAACAATAAGCCGTTTCTTATTATTTTGATCAATTTCTTCATCATTCTTTTTGATACGTTTAGCTGCCGATACTTCAGGCATTTATTGAATTCAAAAAAAGATCGTTTACTGTACGGATAATTCTGTAAGTATAAACAGATACTCAACAAATGCTGCAAAAGATTGAACGCTTTACTTTTGTAATAAGTAGGATGAAGTATTCATCCTCCAAAAGAAGAATTTCTAAGAACATCAACTAACAGTGTAATACAACAGATTTTCTTAAAACTTCAAACGCAATCATCATAACACAGAAGAATCTCATACAGTTGAAAACTGGGATACGATGAGTATGCTGGAATGAAAAGTCTAGGAAAAGGTGATCTTAGCATGTTGCGATAGGTTGAGCACTCTTTCATAAAAATCTGACTCATTCATATTCTTACTGAAAACACATACTGACAAAAAAATCGATTTTTGAGAAGTAACGAATATTTCTTTCGTAAAATATATGAATACTTACGACTAATTAGATCTTTCCTCATACAGTCAATTAAGATTAAAGTGGAAGGTTAGTAGTGTGCACACCAATATGTCACACATCCTAACCCACGTCTGTCTCTTCAGGTCGTCTTCTCGCATTCCGTCAAAAAAGCTATTCAGGACACACTGTCTCGTGGATACAAAAGTTTTTGCAATACTTTCTTTTTGTTTCACATAAATCCAATCCCAAATTAAAAGAAAAAAGATATGTAAAGTGAATAATCTGAACGCAGATCTAAACGAATGCAAACCTCGAGATAACTTACTCAACAGTACATTTCATCTAACACTTCGTCCATTAATGACCTAAGCTATGTGTATCTCATATAGTAAACTATCTAAGTCACACGTGTCATTTAGAAAGATATCTCGGCTACACAATAAGTCCCAGACATAACTCCCCACCCATTGTATGTACTCCGCAACGTGGCAAGCATCTTTATCAGGGCTGTAACACAGAGAAGGCCTGTAGATTTCCGCGCGAAATTTTGAATTTCTAACTTGGATGGGTTGAAATGGAGATGGCACGTGCTATTGGTGGGTGATGAGTACATAAATTACATGCGCGCAAGCTAATCAAATGCATTTTGTAGTTCGAAACATTCATCTCGGAAAGATATCGATAAAGTTCCGGTTAAATGGTGTAGTGTATGTATCCCTTCCATATTGTCTTTATCTTCCTGTAAGGTAATTGTTATGTACTTAGCGATTTGTGAAATACGCAATAATGTCTTGCACAGTGATTGATTGCGAGTTAGTGAAATGATGAGTTGAAGTGATAAAATAGCACAGAAGCGACATAAGCGCTCATCGACTTGCGAGTCTTCTCTTCTTCTCCCACCTGAATGTATTGTGTTGCGAAAGCTGAAAAAATCAAGAACAATTTGAAGTGATGGAGAGACGGTTCACTAAAATAGTTATGGTAAATACTGTCAAAGAATGATTCATCCTGTGTTACACTTCATTGCGATGTGTGCCCAATTTTTCGTCAAAAATCTCACTACTTTCCGAATATCTTAGGCATTATTCTTTCTGTCTGCGCAGATCTATGATTTCAATTTATCCAGCATTTGCATTCCTCACATTAGGTCATTATTCTGTCACAACATCGCTCTTATCATTCGTTTCGTAATTTTGTTTTTCTGTAAAGAATTGAGTTAAGATTGAATGTTGTTTCACACAAGCATGCAAATTGATGCTAAGGATTATATGTACGACGTGAAATATCAACTGTTCAACGGTGTCAGCTACGGGAACCATCACATCCTCTATTCACTTAACTCATTAAAATTTTCCAGTCGATATTATTATTTTCTTTTATTCAGTCGTTCGAATCCTATTTATTTATGGATAGGGAGAAGAGAAAGATGCAGTACTGTATTGTACATTCACTTCAATATTTAATATTAGCTCTTGTGGTGAGAGGATGGGGTGGCGACTCGTCTTCGTCCTCTTCCTTTTATTTATAGTGTGTTCGATGAGTGACCGATCATTGTTCCATTGTGACTGATCGATGTGGCTGAGCAGTGTGGGATGCGGAAAAGACGCAGTTGCTTATTTGGAAATGCGCGAGTACGCCATCTGTCCTTCTTTGTTCTATTTTTATTCGCTGGGTAAATGTTGAGAAGTGATAGTCACTCGAAACTTAGCGAATATTTATTATTATACCATGGTACTCCGTATTTTAGCTCGACATTTCTTTGACATTTCTTGAAAAAGAAAAAACCGCTAATTTCGTATATAGAAGTGAAGTGAAACTATTTGGAAAAAAAATTTAGACCACAAGTAAATTGAACAGAACAGGTGAAGAGTGGCTATATATTTTAATCACTTATCCGCAGAAATTTCTTCTGAATTCTTAATGTATTAGACATTTTGTGAGATTAACGAAATCTGATTTATTTTTTCGTAATTTTACGAAACTTTGAATTTTCCATTCTTTTAATTAAATTAAAAAAAAAAACCGAAGTGATGGAGGACACTGCCATGACTGCGGAACGTCGCCGGCTGCTTGACAAACACTTGGATATATGGACACGAAGCTTGCAACTTGATGACGTGATGGTTTTCCTTCTCGCCAATAGTGTCTTCAACGAGCATATCGTTGATATCATCAAGGTACTGTGATATATTACATTAACATTTAAATCCTGAAGAAAATGGAATTTTCCTAAAATATTGGGATTTTCTTTGCTGTTTTAATTCTTTCACTGATTGTAGAGCGAGTCTACCGCAACTATGCAGCGATATCAGTTCATAAGGCAGTTAAAGATGCGTGGGAATACAGCTTTTTTTCTATTTTATCAGTCACTGTTAAAAACGAATCAAGGGTATGTCAAAATCCCTCGTACAAGCTTTTGGAATATCAGTCGTTTGAGTTTAAGCTGTAAATTTGTAGGAAAAATTTGAAACCATAGTTTAAACCGAGAAAAGTTTGTTTTCTACTTCGGTTTATAATATTCAGTAGAATAATTGTCATAAAAGGGAAGAATAAGGCGTCCTGAATTTTAGATATTTGGCTCATTTGATAGAAAGTGGATTAAGCAGTGAGGACAAGGACAAATTTGAGCAAGAGACTGAATATAGGTATTAAATTTTGCATTTTTATGTTTGACAACTGGAATTTAACAGTTTTTCAAAATATGAGGTAAAACGATGTATTATTCCAAGTCACCAACAGATATGTCGTTCTTTAATACACATGCTGAGAGCAATAGATTGAACAAAGCATTGTTACCACCATTTTTTGTGAAATTTAAGATTTTTTCAAAATATAAGGTGCTAGTGATATGTTGTTTTTCCAGCGACCAGTTAGGTTCACTATGTTTTTTCTCTTTGAAGCTCTTGCTCCAGCCTGCTTCTTTCATAATGTCATTATCATTGTTTCTCCACTGAAATGGAGAAAATGGGTTTTACATATAATTTTTTAAATTAGTATTAAACAAAATAAAGCAATGAAGTATCCGGCATTACACTCATGAACCTGCTGTGACATACTTGAAGTACATTTTTTGTAATTTTTCGATAACTTTTTTGATAACTTCTAACATATTTCATTATGCATTTGTTCTTTTTATATAAAGAAGTCTTTGTCGCATGAATTTATTTTATTGTCTTTTCTTCGTTTGCCTTAACAATCAAATTTAAAACTTTCGTTTTCTTTCATGGTTTTTGTTTTGAGGCCAGCCTTGCACAATAACATTGGTGAAAATTACAAGAGCACTGCTTGTCGCAGCCCAACGGCTGCGGCGATTGAAAAGAACTGTTCGTACTATAAATCATATGAATGTGTAAAAAGTAAGTTATTTAATCTAGGGAGTATTAAATTACAACAAATTTAATCCAACGTTTTTTCAAAGTATTTTCTTTAAAGTTCTATTTTAATTGTAGTGCGTGAGCCTGCTGGTATACTCCATAACCTGATAGTGGATTTCGTTGATACTCCTGCAGATATCTCTTTTGATCCTGATTTGGTGAGTAATTAATAACGAGCCACAAGAAGTTCCTATAATTTTTAAGATTATTTTCACCGCAGACTAATAAGATCAAAAATATTGTAGTGTCATTTTTTGATAAAGAACGATATAGGTATGAGGGAAAAATTTTGTTTCACATTTTTACTTTGCAGTATTTTAAGGACCAGATGGAATTTTTTTGTGTATTTACAACAGTAGGTAGCACTTGGGAAACTGTTCATGACCAACTATATAAACCAAATTAGGTCATTGGCGAAACAGTTGATATTTTACTGTAACTTCTTGTTGTTGCAAATCTTTAATACTCTTACTTTTCCCTTACTTTTAGATGTATCCAAATTTCTCATCACCCCGTGGAGTGGCATTAATTATCAACAACCGTTATTTTCTTGATATGCCAGAAAGAATTGGCACCGACGTTGACGAAATTAACTTGAATAATATTTTTCGGCAGCTTAATTATACAGTTTCCGTTTGCCGAAATTTGTGTGCAAAGGTAGTATTTTTCAACCATAAGGAGATTTCAAAAAATTTGGAAGATCGTCGAAGTACAGTTACTGGATAAACAACCTAATGCTAGTTATAGATTCCTGCAAAAAATTTTTTTAATTTTCTTGCAAAAAATTCATCTTCATTGTTTGAAGGAGATGCTTATTGCTATTCGAGATTTTTCCAAACGCGCGGATCATAAATACTTGGATTCTTGTATCGTCTGCGTGTTGACACATGGTGAACATGGTGAATTATATGGGACGGATGATATCGCCATATCGGTGTTAGAGTTTGTTTCCTGTCTAAATGCACGAAATTGTCCCGCTCTAGCTTATAAGCCAAAACTCTTCTTCCTTCAGGCGTGCAGAGGACGTGAGTTTCATTCCAAATCGTGCTGGAATTTGGTTGTTAGCGCGATATAGTCATATATATATATATATATCTTGTTTACAGAGCAGTACGATCGTGGATTCGACTTAGGGTTTGATGGACCAGATGGATATTTTGATCGTTGGTTTGCTTGTACCACTCCTCAACCTAAGAACAATTTACCAGTGGAGCAGAAGACAAAGTAATGTTACTGTTTGAAGAAAAAATTCATGGCTTCCTGTAAGTGCTAGGTGTAATATAGTGACTTACAAGTTTCAGATCACCGATAGAAGCAGACATATTAGTGTCTTATGCCACCACTCCAGGATATGTTTCGTGGCGCAATTCCATGAAAGGCAGCTGGTTCGTACAAAGCGTTTGTGAAGTGTTTGCCAAGTATGCAAAATCAACCGACATTTTGTCGATGTTGACATTGGTTAGTTGGTGGGATGTTGATCGTTGGTATCTAATTTATTTATGTTTACATCTATTGGTGTACTTTGCAGGTAAATAAACAGGTAGCTGATGCCTTCGAAAGTTCCAGTGGTTCCTTCAAGCAAATCCCTGATCATTCTTCCAGACTGCGTAAAGCTTTCTATTTTTTTCCAGGAGCAACTAAACCGTTTTGAGTCTCTCCGTATGTGCTAAAGTTTTATTGCAATGTTTATCACTATTCTTCACTGTTTTATATAGAATGACAGCACATTGTTTTCAACGTGATCTGTTTCTAATACGGCTTCTACATACTTTTCACATTATTTCACTTGATCATAGATGCTCGTAGGTTAAATCCTACTTATGAGTTTTAGAAGAATAGTAATGTTGTGAAAATGAAGTACTGAAAATCGAGAAATTTTGATCTTCCCTCTTTATATTTTTATATTATTGTTTCGTTTGTATGGCGCTAGCTTCGATGTAAAGAAATGACTAGGACAGTAACTTTTCAGCAACTATTCAGTCTTGTTTCCAATATTCACTTTCTACTGCTCTCAAATCTGTCTTTTCATTTCAAAAATTTTGTGTGAAAACATACTGCACTTTAACCTGACGAGATTGTATACGAGTATTGATTAATTCTCGTGTGCTTCTGAACTTTTGCCTTTCATTATGATCATTATTGATTGATATATATTTATATACATGTTATTTATTATTGCACGTAAAGGGCAAATAGTGCTTGTTCTGTTATAAGTTGGCCATCTCTCTTCGGTAATCTCACTTCATGATCTTTATTGTTGTTCTCAATTATTCAGTCATCCCAATTTTCTATTTGGTGCTATCTTGCCATATACTTTGATAGTATTTGTAATTTTTGTCAAGTTCCATTATGATTTAATAAATGTTATAGCATATTAAAGGTATAAGTTTCCGCAGTGCCTGTTATCCATAATAACTATTACCTACGAGAACAGTTTTAGTTGAATGGACTCGATGACAGCATTCAGCGAGTATCGAAAATGCTTGAAAATCCACCATAGCATGGTCCTTCGGACATAGGTTTATATATAATCTACGAGAGTGAGTCACCGGAAAACGAAACAGTTGTCTTCCAATGTGGTGGTTTCAAAAGTTCGCGCAAATCATCTTTCTTAAGTGGATTGCTAATTAGCCATATAACTAAAATATCGTAATATGATAGTCTCTGAGATTGACCCTTACAATAAATAGCATTCTAGTATGGCTATATAATAAAATTCCAAATACTGCACAGTATGTATTGAAGGTAGAGTAGGCGGAGCTAAGCGATTCCTTACAACACAAGTATTTGTGCATGCCTTTGATTGTGAATAAAGAAATACAATCGAAATGGTTGTGATTAACTAGGATTATGTAAATATATCCGATATTATCGAGGATAGTGATAAATGGTAGAATCGGACAAGTTGCAGAGAAGCTATATCTTTCAGAAATGGGATCCATATAAGTCGTAATTTTCAATGTTTGATCCACTGAACCAGTAGTTTTGAATATGTTATTAGAAATATAGGTTGTACAAAACTCTTTAAAAAGAGGTAGGAATCAAGCATTACTGTTTTACTGCATATTTCAGATCATCTCCATAGATTTTCCCCGAAAGTGCTTTTATCGAATGAGATGTCAGGATCACGAACGGTAGGTTGGTTACCGCGGATACCAAAAGCGGTGAAAATCGGGCACATTCCTCAACGTTTAAAATCACCGCGATTGGAATTCCATCGAGCTCGTCTCGAGGTAGATTTTCATTTGTGTTCCATAGATAGTCTTCGCAAAGCTTAAGTTAATGCATGTTCACCAACTGAAGTCAAATGTTGCTCAGAAACAGTTCTATATACTTTTCTGTATTGAAATTTCAACTAGTTAAGCTACCCACTTATGTTATTACAGATCCTACGACGGATGTGTAGCACTTTATTTCGTGAAGAGCGGGCAGAATTTCGATATCACCGTGCAATGGAGCTTCGTCCCTATGCTGAAAGGGTCACTGCTTTATCGAAGTTTATTTTTTTTTTAGAACTCAAGTTTGCCGTCCATTATGATATGATGAATTTGACCCCAATATTTTATAGCTTCTCCAGTTTGGAATATTTCGTGGACCTGAAGATTCCTATACCAAAGAAATGGTAGATTGGTGGATAATGGATGGGGATATACGCGAGAAGTTTTTTGAAGTTTATGTCCCTCGGTTTCGGGGGCAAGAAGGTTTTGTTTGATTTGTCTCGATTGAATTTCGTGACATGCAATGGATGTGATGAAGTCAGAGGAATTTAGTGTATTTATGCGATTAAAGCAAGTGAAATTAGTTTTCCTTTCTTCGAATTATTTCCTCCTTCCGCCACCTCCCGCCACCGAACAAAAAATTTTTTGACTTCAGGTGAATGTAATAATATGAGTAGCAGTTTGCTTGCTAAGATGATTATAATCATCACATGATGTGATAAAATCGTGTCAGTTCTTCATAATTATTACTTTGATTTTAAAAATTGAAAGTATAGGAAACAGAAAGGGTGGTAAACAACTATTTTTGTAAAAAAAAATAGAAATATTTCTCAGGTCCATATACATCGTTATATTTTATCCAGGACGATCCTAGTGAAGGACACTATCATCGAGGAGTTATCGAATTAAACGGTATTTTTTAAATCATATTTTCCATTTTTATTGTTAGAGTTCAAATTTAGGCTCATAAGCTCTTCAGCATTAATTATATGTGTGATTAGGAAGAGAGAAGAATTAGTCGAAGATAGAATCTTCCAGATGTGGCCTTCCTTTAAGTATTTAGTATATGGAGCTTTTTTTCAGGTAATCCTTATCCGCCTATAGTCGTTCAAGAAGTAGATTATTCCCATAATTTGCTCAACGTTCTTCTGAAAAATGCAGTTTATCAACAGATGTCGAATTTGCAGAAGCAATATGCAGATATTATCTCGGTGAAATAATGTTGATTGCCGTAGTAGTAAGCATTTTGACAATACTTGTATAATCATTTTCTTGATAGTCCTTTGCTAATTTTAGAACTTTTGAAATAATGATTGGTGAATTTGTGGTAATAGGAGTTTCTCCATTAAGAGTTATATAGAAGCAATCATTAGCTCTTCAAGTCATGAATCGTCCACAGTGTGCTTATAAATGGCAATAAAAATTGTTTATATTTGGCTGATTTTGGATTGGATCAACTGTTGGCATAATAAACAGATCAACAAGCAGATTATACACACTAGTTGGTACTTAAAAAATCTATATCAGATCTATATCAGAAGACATCGAATCAAATATTCTTTACGGATAGATAACTTCGAATTCCCACACACTTTAATAAAAGTGCACGACAGAGAGTGATATATTTCGAAAAAAAAAAGTAATAAAACAAGCAATAATATATTAAGATATTCGCTAATCTTCGAATAAAAACGTAACAGAATGGTCATAAAAAGCTAAAGGAAATTACATTTTTTGGTAACCATAGCATCATTTATTATGTTTCCCGCATTTCATAATATGCTTATGAAAATCTCCCATTGTTTCAAATTTATCAGATTCCATCCCACACGCTGTGCAACGCAAACTGAACGTTTCTTTTGCATGGTATTTGCTAATTCGATGATTTACCTTGTGCTCTACCGGTATCGTACAGTCTACAGAAGCCTGTAAACTATTCATCTCATTATTGATTAGAAAAAGCTGGTACTTAGGTTTCTTTCTCACCTCATCAAATTATTGATAAGATTTTAAAAATTAAGAACAAAAAATTATTGGAAATTAAAAATCAATCAGAAACAATGAAATCAGTCTCCAATAGTCCCTGAGTTAAAACTTCAAAAAGCGGACATCACAAAAAGCAAGAGATAAAAAGTATAATTACTTCTATCTGCTGTCACTATTTGCTGTAAGCATAAAATCATAAAATGATTCACTATATGAGTTGATGATAAGAAAACGAGGACATAATGACACTTGAGAGCATTGGAGACCGTAGGTCTTTAATGTTGTCAACGATATTGTAAAATCTACAGGAGCCTGTAAACTATTTCAATTCTGTATCCAACAATTCCCATTCTTTGCAGCAGGGAATACTCAATATTTCGCTTAATCGTGGCATACCTCAGCAGAAACCGGTCTATGTGAATCCGTCGGAGAGCTTTCACGTTTCAAATATTCATCGTAAATGCAACTATCATCTAAGGCCATTTTGGATTCTGCACATTGCAAATTAACTTTCATGTCCTGCTTCTTGAATGAATTATCTCCTGGGCGTTTCTGCACTTCCTCGTCATTTGAGCAACATGCTATCGGACTCATGACTTTTGGTAATGAGTCAGGGGATGAAATGCTGGAATTATCCCAATTCGGAAAGTGTTAGACCAATTAAAGTTGAACTTCATTTATAAATAAAGAATGTGAAATAGTTATAAATATCTCACATTCCGAATCTATCATTTTGTTTAAGTCAGAAACGTGAGAGGATAGCTTACTGCAACTTCCTAACCACTCAAGAGAGCGTTTTAAAAACGTATTTATCTCTCTAAGATGAATGATGCCACCCATCACTTAAATTATCTCCTTTAATTCGATTTTCAATTAGCCCGTGGCAGCACAGGGAAGAAACTGTTTGATTTGAATATTTAGGTCCATTTCCAATTACGGCATGACGTAGCAATCACTGAATCTTAAATTCAGCAGATAAAGACCATGACATTTAGACATTAGTCATAAAAACCATAACAATAGACACTTATCCTACACATATATATATAAAAATCTTTACTAAGTAAAAACCTGCAAACTTTTTTGCTACAAAAAGAAAAGACAAATCATGAACTTACCTGGAAGAAATCATTTCGAACATCTCTACTGAGGGCTCACTTTCGAGAATACGAAACTTAGGAAGTCGGACCAACTGCGGATTTGGTATCCGTTCCAATATCGCCATTGCATCCTTACATCTACCGCGCATACCCATTTGCGCCATTTTCATGTCTAAAATACACCAAATGGCTTTTTAGCTAATCTCACACATATACGTTTCGTCGTTTCTTTCATTGTTTATCGTATAATTCTTATATTCCCGGGATTAAAAGCTGTATGACGTTTTATCATTACACCTCTAACGTTAACGTTTGCCAAAAAGAGAGGATAGCATTTGTTAGAGTGTTCACTGTTGTTTAAATTGAACAGACCTCTTTCAAGATCGATCACCGAACTGTTCTTCTTCATGCATACGTGCTCTTCAATCTTTTTCAGTGCAACCGTTGCAAAGCCACATTTTGAGCAAAGGAAAGGAGCTGCCCGAGGCAGAACATTATAACGCAATGAACGATTGCGAATCTTCTTTGCCAAACTAATATTTTTCTTCCGTAAACATCGTCGAATTTTCCTTCTGAAGATATCTCTTCACTTTAACACAGATATCTGATGAATCAGAAAGAATTTTGCAAAGCTAATGATATCCTGTATAATACATTTGAGGAATTAAATTTCATACAATGAATCAAATAAGGATTTATATTTGCACTTTGAAAATGCTAACTTTTAAATTTCTATAAGCTATAGCGAACCTTTCACCATCTAGCAATTACTAGCATTAAGAGCTAGAGCTGTCGAAGATGCGAGGAACATAAAGGCAATCAATTTCACATGGCGCTAACCTTCAGGCGCTAATCTCTTTCTACACTCTTCATTTATTTTCTGCACTATGTGTGCTAGCAAGATATTTATTATACTTATATTCACTCCTCTCTAATGATCTTTAAAATACAGAAACCCGAATATTCTAGTATTTAACCGAAGAAGCAACAAAGCTTTGCATTAACGCTTTCATTTATAGCAAGGTAAGAGGCTTTTTAATATTAACTTTTGAATTTAACCTATCATCACTACTCAAAGTTTTCTAGCATTTCAAACAATCAAGCTAATATATCCAAGGGAAATATTTCTGGGGTGTTACCGGAACTATTTCAACCCCAATGCACCTTCAACACAAAGAATTCTTTATAGAATTGTGCAAGAATCTAACGAGATCTGATACCTGGAAAAAAAACGCCGAAAAGCTGGATGTACGTAACGCAGTATGGAAGGCGCAACATGCAATCGTGCCATGCAATTTGCTTTATTCAATAAAACCATTATTCTGCTGTTAATGTTTATAACATTTGTTGGAGTATTGGAAGCGCGAGGTGGTCGTCGCGCTGGTAAAAGTAAAGGCAAAAGTAACCTGCAATTTGCACAAGTTGCCGAATTCTCGTTGGTACATACACAATTAGCTGACAATAAAGTAAGTTTATGTAAGAAATATGTTTTAAATACATTGAGAAAATAGCAAGCGATCATTCAGTTCAATTGTTTCAAAATTTTAACAATATCTCTTGAGGAATTATAACGATCTCTGAACTAACTGTATTCACAACCAATTAAATTCCCTTTGTCAAAATATTCCACATATCGCTGTTACTATTTATTCCTTTATTTCACATTTCAATTTTTTAAAAGACAAAAAAAAACAATGCAAAATAGCAATAGTTGGAATACGAAGAACTTCGAAAATTTCATAGCATACTCTTTCTAACTGGAAACAATTTGAATATTGGAATAAATTCAATTAAGCGTTATAAATTTAATAAAAATGTCAGTACTGTGCGTGTTAATTTATCACGCATTCTGAAAATTAAGAGCAAAAATATGAATAAAGTTAGGAAAAAAACGATTAGGAGAGAAATAAGCATTGCTATAACATGTTTATGAATTCTCAGAGATTAGAACATAATGTTAGATTTAAATACTGTAAGGATATGATATTTGAGTAAATAGTATTTTGAGTAAAATACTATCAAAAATGTGTCGAAATAACTCGATAAATCATTACTTGTCTGTTCTTCAAAATGTTAGCACAAACGGAAACGAATTCCAGAGTGCTCATATCGTCACCGGATCACATTTCAGCCAAACTTTCCGGCTCGGTTATAAATTAGTACTAATTTGTAAAGCTAAAGGTACACCACGTCCGACCATCAAATGGTATAAGGAAGGAGCGGAAATGCATCCAAAAAAGAATACACATGTAAGTTACTTCCTTTATTGTGTTTATTTTCTTGAAACGGTCATAGGTGAAAGCGAGATTTTCATTGGTTGTAATGATCTGAAATCATTCAAGTTTTTAAGATTAACCTCGGGCATTGTTATTTTATCAACAGTTCAGACTCTTTCGATGTATCATATATCAGGAAAGTATTTTGAAGCAAAAATCAAATTTTTAATTTGAATGAAATTCTCTAAATCTAATTTTTGATCATTTTTTGAATAATATACAACTAAGAATTTTTATTTGTGATAGTTTATTGGAAAGGCAAAACTGTAAAAAGAAGCGATAATTGTAGCACTACGAGAAGTTACTCGATGAAGATATGTTGTGGAGTAAATTGGAGATCGATCCAGCAACGATGGGTGATCAAGGCATTTATGCATGTGTTGCTAACAACGAACATGGTGTTATGGCTAAAAATTTCAAAGCTGAATATACTTATTAAATATTCCTGAAATGTTTCATTCATAAGTGATACTGATCGTGTTATTCAAAGATTTAATTTTCAAATTCATTAATTTCACTTCTAAAAGGATCACCAATTTACAACATTTAATACATTTCATGTGATTAGCTGAAAAATAATAAAAGATATCTTCCAGAATAAAATTGTCGAATGATATCATAATTATCACATTTGCACATTAAAAGTGATAAAGCAGAAGCTTCATTTTATATGATAAACCAATGCAGTCAAAATGTATTCCTTTTTCAAAGGAGCATTACAATTAAAAAATTATAAAAGCAAACTGAAAGAATGTCTTTTATTATTCATTTTTATATTAATAAATGATCAATTCATCCAATAGACGGTAATTATCAAATAATTAAAAAAGGAAAATGAGAAAGTTATACGACGAACTTAACAGATAATAACTTATGCCAACACACACTTTCATAATACCATTTCAAAATAAACAGCTTTGCTCATTAAAGCTCAATTTGTGCTTAGGGAATGTATGAAACAATTCAGTAAATGGCAATAAACAGAGAGAGAGAGAGAGAGAGAGAGAGAGAGAAAGGGAGAGGAAGAGAAGAAGGGAGATAGGAAGAGAGAAAAGAAGAAAGAGATGATTATAATTGACGATATAATGTTTTAAATGAATTGTACTTTATTCTTCGAAGTTTTAAAAATTTCTGAAATGATATCCGGAGGAATGAGTGCATGATATCAATCGGATTATGGTTGAATGACTCAATTCCCTGCATGCGTGTACAATTTTAAAAGAATTTAACCGGTAGTATTGAAAATTTTCGAATTATATGAGAAAATCCGATTCCAATCATCGGTACATTCATTGTGTGTAATAATTTGGCTAAGGAAAAGTAATGAAAAAGTAGGGAATTCCATAAAAACTAACATCAAAATTATAAACATTCTTATGTTTATAATTTTGGTGTTAGTTTCTATGGAATTGAAATGTTGATAGTTTTCTTTTTTTAAATGTTTCAATAAGGATTACTTTTCTTTGGAGGTGTTGTTATTTGGGTATGATTATTATGTTGGTTTTTATTATCATTTTCTTGTTGCTATTAATATCTATAACTCAAGGCAAAAAATTAAATGATCTGCAATCGTACATATTAATTATACCATACACCCAAAAAACCCAAACTAACTTACCAGAATATCATTCCATACAATACCTTAAAATAACAAATCCCAAAAAAAATACACTATATAAAAATGTTTTCTTAAATTAAACTAATAGGAAAACAGACTGTTTCATGGAAAGAATGAGGTTTAAGACTAAAAGGTGTGACCTAAAAGGGATTCATTTATGTGGACAGGTGAGCCTCCTCCCTTCGGAGATACATACCACACAACCAAACGATCGCTATTATCCTCTCAATCACCTTTCTGACTTAATCGATGTACTTGTAAGCTATTAGCAATTTGACACAGAACCGCTAAACTGATGGTACGTTCGCTCCTGATGAAGAGAGGAGTTGTTCCTTCAGGCTGCTATAGTTATGGAGGGTTCTGTTCTTTTGTTTGTTAAATAATGAACTGAATTACAGTGATCTTATATTTAAGTTCGAGATTTGAGAAGATTATGCTACAGGTTTCTCTCGTAACTTAGCCAATGAATGGTTTTTCCAGATAAAAATGCAAACGATCAAGTGTGTAGTAGTTGGAGATGGTGCTGTCGGCAAAACTTGCCTTCTCATTTCGTATACTACCAATAAGTTTCCCAGTGAATATGTACCCACCGTATTTGATAACTATGCTGTGAGTTAGTTACTTCTTTTTTCATTTATTTATTTCTCAATTAGTTACCAATTTCTGCTTTCTTATCTAACCATTTAAACTGATAAGTTATTCATCCATCATTTAATCACTTATCAATTGTGTGTTAAATAGAGCCCAGTTAGATATGATCAGTTGTTTGTTAACTATCACCTTCCTGCGAATCATAACATGTTTTATTAATATATCATTTGTTAGTAAATTTGTATCTTTAACTTATCAGTTTTCAGTTAATTCTCTCGTATTTTCAAGTTAGTTAGAAAAAGTTGTTTTATCTTGATATATTATATTTTATTATTGTATGCAAAATATATTCGTGATTACATATAACGTGTGATATTTGTTGCAGGTAACAGTAATGATTGGTGGAGAACCATATACGCTTGGTTTATTCGATACAGCCGGTCAGGAAGATTATGACAGACTGCGTCCTCTTTCTTATCCGCAGACAGATGTATTCTTAGTTTGCTTCTCCGTTGTTGCACCTTCATCATTCGAAAATGTGAAGGAGAAGGTCATTATTTCAACTGTTGCAATTTTTTTTTTTTTTGAAATTATTTGTTGTTTCTGTGCCAACCATTCGTGCTAAATTTGTATCGATCACGGTTAGGCGTTGTTAAGAATATCCGAATGAAATCATATGGTATTAAATTGGATAATTACATCGTGTTTGGAATAATTAGAATGAATTTCAAGCCATCTTGAATTATCAAGTTAGAATTGATTTAACTATTGGTGTCTTGCTTTGTTAAAGACTCTATTCTTATTCGAGAGCGCTCAAAGACGGTTCTTATTTAAATCGATGAAAAAGAAAATTGCAGTGGGTACCGGAAATAGCACATCACTGTATGAAGACGCCGTTCCTACTGGTTGGAACACAGATTGATCTTCGTGACGATCCCTCCTATATCGAGAAATTGGCAAAAATCAAGCAACGACCAATTACATTTGAAGTTGGAGAAAAACTGGCAAAAGAATTGAAAGCAGTGAAATATGTCGAATGTTCAGCGCTTACACAGGTTGCCACTTCGAATTTTTTCGAAATAGTTTAGAAGAATTCAATTCACAATAAAAATAAAAACTAAGAGCTATAACTTCTTTTTTAGCAAGCACTTGCGCAAATAAATAATAAATAAATACGAATTGATAGTTGTCTCAAGTTGCATTTTGCGCTGATGACAGAGCGTATTTTACACTATTAAAAATAAATAAACAAATAAATAATAAACAATAAGTAATAAATAAATAAACAATAA